TTTGAAAGCCATTGTTGATACAGATAACGTTTATAATATGACAAAACAACACCGGATCTTCGTTTAAAATCTCTAAAAAAGGATTTAAACTTCTACATTGACAAGGTTGGCATGGTTAGAAGCATATAGTTAAGTGTAGAAGCATTGGTGAAACTTCAAGTATTGGTTAGTGAGTGAGAAGGCTGGCTTTGTTGTTCGTTTCAAAAGCTAAGCCGGGACCGAAAAAACGGCTCATTACGGCAACTTTGACCGAACGTAAAAATSCGAAAACTGATTTACCCAAGCTAATTTTTTGTACAGCTGAAGAAAAACTCCTCTTCTTTAAATAGCTTGGATATAAAACGATTCCAATGTTTCGGCCATAGTAAAATTGCCACTTGTTTTGAAGCTACTTTTGAGAGTGCTGAAAGTRTGTCCTGTAAAAAAATCTACTAAAAATTCTTTATTCAAGTTACACGCGAAAAAATCWCTCTACTAACTAAACAGATAGAATACTTGAAGTTTTTTATATTTTAAAGGTTTAATCTTGTATAGTTTTAGCAAAGGAGGTCTGTAATTCTGCTCATTTTTAGACCTCTCTAATTAGCATATGACGCCTCGAAAGAAATATTTTAATTTCTTGGGAATAAAACAATATTTTCAAAAACTAAGTGTGTAGGGGCTTGTATTACATCATAGCCTACCTCCCTTCAAAATATGAGACAAATCGAATTTTTCACACTTGCCACGAAATGTTTGAGTTTTACTGACATCCACTCTTAATTATACTATGTCATGCATATTTTTTTGCTAAATGTTCTATTCAATATTCTCAACTTCATTAATAATTCATGACATGAAAAACCAATTGGATGCTTCTTTTAGGGTCACATGACTGTATGAACTTGGATACCACGATCCAACACTAATTTAATTAGATCCATTTGGATATCCAACCTCATAGGTTTGGATCTTATTAGAATAAAAGTAATTCTCCTTCACTTCATTACACTTCACACCGCTTTCTCCTTTTTACCTGTCTTGCCTGTTTATTTACCTCCCAGGGGGGGGGGTACTCCCATATATGGACTATACGGGGATGATCCACTGAACAGGGTATGGTTTTTCAAGCTTCTTGTCATAAACAGGGTATGCAATTTCACTCAAGTTCCAATTTTTTTCCTGAGTTTCCTTTCATATTCAGGGTTTCTCCTTTTGTATTGACTGAAACTGGTTACTATGGTCTTCAAAAAGCAATACGCGAGCTGGCATGATAATTGAAACAGAAACTCAGTGCAA